CAAAATTCATACTTACTGTGTTGTGCAGACATGATAAGTTTTCTTATCTAATCCAATATAAGTCATATTTCATTAAGGGAATAGGCAATGAAGATTGCTCAGCTCTCGTTCCAGGTTGTAAACAAAGTATTATTCTGTTAACCGACCTGTCTGATAAACGCAAAAAAAGGTTTATCTATTCTCCTGTTCGTGACCTTATGAATCGAGGTTGCTGAGTTAGTATGCCGTCGACTAACTGTACCATAAGACGACTGTTGAGAACTACAAACAGCGCTTAGTTTCTGAAGCGTTCTTAATCCGAATAAAATCTATCGTCATGAATAGAGATTAAGGACTTGCATCTCTCCTTTACGTGTAAACTGCAGACAACAAGTTAAAAGTCAATTATAAATACATCTTGACTATCTCAGGTTACCGTACCTCTGAGCCCAGAGGGGTGAATTCCAAGCTCAAGGCAACTAACAGTTAATAAAAGAAAATTTACGCCGCGCGTTGGGTTTCAACGAGACATTTTAACGTGTTAAGAAACCTGCTCATCCATTGCGCCAATACCCTCCTCTCATTTCGATTTCAGAGTCAATGACATATCGCATTGTCTACTTCCTATATCAACGAATATGTTCGCTCAGAAATGCATAAAAATGTACCAGTGTAAAATCTCCAAAAATTCATTAGAGAACGATGCCGAATGACAAGTTTATTGTGTGCATATTCTTCAACGATTCATGTCATACTCAATCCTTCTTCAACGGGAGCGACAGAGCAAAATAAAGTTGAAGTATTACATTGTCATATTTCATGTTCATCTTTAAAAACTGACTGAATATGATCTAAATCGTTGGAGAATACGTTCTTATTCAACTTGTCATGCAAGTCATTCCTTAACTGATTCTCACTATTGAAACCTTGACTCCGAATGAAAGATTGAACTTCGCACTTAAAAAATGAAGGACAATTGGATGAACAGAATCACGAATGACAGCAGATTTTTTACCAAAAATTGTCGGCGTGTACATCTCTCTATGCACAGACATATTAGAAATGATCAGTGTCTTTTCATGATACCGCGGAAAAATAAACATGGTAGAAACTGACAGGATTAATCGCTGTCACCTCAGAGTTTCAATATTTGCCATTATTCGACACGGTGAGATCATTAAGGCATAACTGCGATAAAGCTCTACCTGCAGAGAATCGGTTCCTAACTTAAGATATATAATTAACAGTCACTATAACTTAGTGGACAAGGATCCCTCGACAGGGATGACAATGACGAGAAGGCACATAGCCCAAGTCGCATACGTGGTGACATATCGACTTCAATGCTAGCCACTCAAGTTGAATTCAAAATTCAAAACTTCTCTAGTTCGCAGTCAATGTGTGCCCGACTATACGTTAAGCTTCTTGCTTGCGTATATAAGGTATATTCTATAGGTCGATATGTCTTACTTCAGACCTCGGTCAATAACACACTTAAAGAGACAGGACGTTGTGTCTGAGCATCAAATTTTCATCATACTGTGAACGTTGTCTCAGTGTAACCGACAAAGCAGCCATGATCAGGCTCGCCAGCCACTGTTCAAAATTGAGGAATTAATCCTGATGACGAGCCTGCTAGTCGGTCTACAAATTAACACCTCGCATTCATTGGCGATCAGTTGACGATAATATGCCAAATGTTTGCAAATCATGAAACAGGATCAGTCAAGGCTAACGTACCGCGAATTAGCGTGGTGCGTAGCGCAGCACTTACCGAGAGCCAACTTTGCTTTCGTGGCCTCCGTTACCGTGCTCATATTGTCCGTCAGCCGCCGCCTGATACTTGAAACTGAGGAACACGAACTGTGGTCTTCACTCTTTATTCCTCCTCATCATTCTCCTCCTCCGACGTCTCGTCAAACGGGTTTATTGTCGGCGCAGCTGCCGCACTTTCGTTTTGCGGCAGCTGACACCAGAGCATGGCCGGCTGGCTGCTGGCTTGAGCTGTTGTTTCAGTCCGTTCGCAATCGTCACCGTCGTCAACCAATCCTGTTCGCCAGTCATGCGATACATCTAGAATTCTTTGCAAGTGGTGAACGATATACCCACCTAGATACCAGAAAGCAATATTTGCACGCTGAAACAACACCGGATTCGCCGTGCTATGTCTGAGAATGTCCACGTTTTTGCACATTGGCATGTTTGCTAACTCTTCACTCATTCGTTTGTTCGACCTCAAGTGCGCAGTTCTCTGAGGAGATTTGAAATGCAGGATTTATTGAATAACAGGGTTTTAAAATAAACCGAACATATTTATGGCTGTTGCTCACCTTGCGAATTTGTCGATCCTTAATGAGGCCAGCTGAAGAACTCGTCCTCTCAACAACGCGAATTACCGCAAAACCGAAATCTTTCTGTTTCCAGAAGAAGCAGCCGAACTATAGAGCGGAATCCTCCATTGCTTTCAACGAAATGTTACTTTAAGGATTTCACAAAGTTACTATATTTCGGTTAACGCATGGTAGTCTTCGCCAGTTATTACCAATAGTCACACAGTAGCGTACAAAAAATGTTGCAAAGCTGAACTGTAATCACTGGCTGACTTTTCTCAGCAGTAGCATCAGCCCGAAAGGTGGCACATTTTTTGCAGCATCTGCATATCATCCGAACAGCTGTGCATCATTATAAGGTGCATTCGTTCTGTTTACAAGTATAAATTGTTTTGGAAAGCGTTGTCACTATATTCAACGAAACTAAATTGCCCACTTTAGAAGCAGCTGTCTTGAAACGGTGAAATCGCTAAAAGTGTTTTTATAAGCATGTTGTCCAGTTCCATATTTAATTTTCATATTTCAAATTTTGTATGCCACAAACGGCATATTAGTTGACAAAATTGATATAATAATTAAAAGCACAAATAATCATTTCAGTTTGTAACAAATCAGTGACTGATTCAAATTTCTCAAGTCTCATTGAGATCGCGAGTATGGGCGAAGGGTTTTATTGATATTGCATAGCGTGCGGAGTTGTTGTATAGAACCAAGGTTTCGGCTGATGTTATTATCCTTGTTCAAATGAAAATTCAACGACGTACCGTAGACGCACTGTATTTATACAACTCCAAAACGTATTACATCCTGCATAATATTAACAAATCATTCTTCCCTACTAATGAGCCATTCATCGGTTTTAAGTGCCACGCTAATTTCGCTCTTTCAGATTGATTAGTGGGATATAGACTGCGGCTTACCGCACCCAGAGATGGGGTTGCTTCGGGCGACTCATCGGCATGGTTTTTGCGTGGGCCAATCTCTAACACTTCAAAACCGTACAAAGGTACCCAGTTCTTGCCTGGTTGGTCAAATCTAGGTTGGAGATTCGAAGGGTCGTAACGAAACATGGTCCACCTTTACCATAGGCAACCCGTTACTTTACCATTTGATGGTTCGCTGCGACATATTCGCCTGGCATCTACTTCTGTGATGGCTCTCGGAAATAAACTAGCAAGTTAATATACTTTAAGAAGCATTTAATGGAGGTATGCAGATCAGTTCACTCGCACAGTCACTTCAAAATTCCACTTTATGGGCAACGTCAAGGCCTAAATCTAATCCAAACTTACGCATAACGTGAAATGCTT